TTTCCCCCAAAAAATGAGAAAATTCTGGGATTTTGAGCCCAGGATCTTCCCAATGAGGATCCCATAAAAAACTGGTGGGAAAATTTTTGGGATGGGATTTTTTCCCAAAAAAAGGAGAAAATTCCGGGATTTTGAGCTCGGGTTTATCCCAATGAGGAACAGGAATGAGATTCCATGGAAAAAGAGCTGGAAAATTTTTGTGATGGGATTTTTTTCCCCAAAAAAAGTGGAATTCTGGGATTTTGATGTCGGGATCAGCCCAGTGACGGCTCCAGGGAATTCCATGGAAAAAAGAGCTGGAAAAAGTCATGGAATGGGATTTTTATCCCAAAAAAAGGAGAAAATTCCAGGATTTTGAGCTCAGGTTTATCCTGATCAGGGCACAGGAAGGAGATTTAATGGAAAAAAAGCTGGGAAAACTCCTGGGATGGGATTTTTATCCCCAAAAAAAGGAAAAAATTCCGGGATTTCGATCTTGGGATCAATCCCGGTGAATTTCCAGGGAATTCCATGGAAAAAGAGCTGGAAAAAGTCATGGAATGGGATTTTTATCCCAAAAAAAGGAGAAAATTCCAGGATTTTGAGCTCGGGTTTATCTCAAGGAGGACACAGGAACAAAATTCCATGGAAAAAAAGCTGGAAAAATTCATGGAATGGGATTTTTTCCCAAAAAAAAGTGGAATTCCAGGATTTTGAGCTCGGGATCATCCCGGTGACGGCACCAGGGAATTCCATGGAAAAACCGGTGGGAAAATTTTTGGGATGGGATTTTATTCCCAAAAAATGAGAAAATTCTGGGATTTTGAGTTTGGGATCATCCCAATGAGGATCCCATAAAAAACTGGTGGGAAAATTTTTGGGATGGGATTTTTTCCCAAAAAAAGGAGAAAATTCCGGGATTTTGAGCTCGGGTTTATCTCAAGGAGGACACAGGAAGGAGATTCCATGGAAAAAGAGCTGGAAAATTTTTGGGATGGGATTTTTTTCCCAAAAAATAAAGTGGAATTCTGGGATTTTGAGCTCAGGATCATCCCAGTGAGGGCACAGGAAGGAGATTTAATGGAAAAAAAGCTGGGAAAACTCCTGGGATGGGATTTTTATCCCAAAAAAAAGGAGAAAATTCCAGGATTTCGATCTTGGGATCAATCCCGGTGAATTTCCAGAGAATTCCAGGGAAAAAAGAGCTGGAAAAAGTCATGGGATGGGATTTTTATCCCAAAAAAAGGAGAAAATTCCGGGATTTTGAGCTTGGGATTTTCCCAGTGAGGATCCCATAAAAAACTGGCGGGAAAATTTTTGGGATGGGATTTTTTTCCCCCAAAAAAGGTGGAATTCTGGGATTTTGACTTTGGATTATCCCAGTGAGGGCACAGGAAGGAGATTTAATGGAAAAAAAGCTGGGAAAACTCCTGGGATGGGATTTTTATCCCCAAAAAAAGGAGAAAATTCCAGGATTTCGATCTTGGGATCAATCCCGATGAATTTCCAGAGAATTCCAGGGAAAAAAGAGCTGGGAAAAGTCATGGAATGGGATTTTTATCCCAAAAAAAAAGGAGAAAATTCTGGGATTTTGAGCTCAGGATCTTCCCAGTGAGGATCCCATAAAAAAACCGGTGGGAAAATTTTTGGGATGGGATTTTTATCCCAAAAAAAGGAGAAAATTCCGGGATTTTGAGCTCGGGTTTATCTCAAGGAGGACACAGGAAGGAGATTCCATGGAAAAAGAGCTGGAAAATTTTTGGGATGGGATTTTTTTCCCAAAAAATAAAGTGGAATTCTGGGATTTTGAGCTCAGGATCATCCCAGTGAGGGCACAGGAAGGAGATTTAATGGAAAAAGAGCTGGGAAAACTCCTGGGATGGGATTTTTTCCCCCCCAAAAAAAGTGGAATTCCGGGATTTTGAGCTCAGGATCAGCCCAGTGACGGCTCCAGGGAATTCCATGGAAAAAAGAGCTGGAAAAAGTCATGGAATGGGATTTTTATCCCCAAAAAAAGAGAAAATTCTGGGATTTTGAGTTCGGGATTATCCCAATGAGGATCCCATAAAAAATCCGGTGGGAAAATTTTTGGGATGGGATTTTTCCCCAAAAAAAGGAGAAAATTCCGGGATTTTGAGCTCGGGTTTATCCCAATGAGGAACAGGAATGAGATTCCATGGAAAAAGAGCTGGAAAATTTTTGGGATGGGATTTTTATCCCAAAAAAAAGTGGAATTCTGGGATTTTGATGTCGGGATCAGCCCAGTGACAGCTCCAGGGAATTCCATGGAAAAAGAGCTGGGAAAAGTCATGGAATGGGATTTTTATCCCAAAAAAAGGAGAAAATTCCAGGATTTTGAGCTCAGGTTTATCCTGATCAGGGCACAGGAAGGAGATTTAATGGAAAAAAAGCTGGGAAAACTCCTGGGATGGGATTTTTATCCCAAAAAAAGGAGAAAATTCCAGGATTTCGATCTTGGGATCAATCCCGGTGAATTTCCAGGGAATTCCATGGAAAAAGAGCTGGAAAAAGTCATGGAATGGGATTTTATCCCAAAAAAAAAGAGAAAATTCCCGGATTTTGAGTTTGGGATTATCCCGGTGAGGATCCCATAAAAAACCGGTGGGAAAATTTTTGGGATGGGATTTTTTGCCAAAAAAAGGAGAAAATTCCAGGATTTTGAGCCCAGGATATTCCCAATGAGGATCCCATAAAAAAAACTGGCGGGAAAATTTTTGGGATGGGATTTTTTCCCAAAAAAAGGAGAAAATTCCGGGATTTTGAGCTCAGGTTTATCTCAAGGAGGACACAGGAACAAAATTCCATGGAAAAAGAGCTGGAAAAAGTCATGGAATGGGATTTGATCCCCAAAAAAAGAGAAAATTCTGGGATTTTGAGTTTGGGATTGTCCCAGTGAGGATCCCATAAAAAAACCGGTGGGAAAATTTTTGGGATGGGATTTTATTCCCAAAAAATGAGAAAATTCTGGGATTTTGAGTTTGGGATCATCCCAATGAGGATCCCATAAAAAACTGGTGGGAAAATTTTTGGGATGGGATTTTTTCCCAAAAAAAGGAGAAAATTCCGGGATTTTGAGCTCGGGTTTATCTGATGAGGGCACAGGAAGGAGATTTAATGGAAAAAAAGCTGGGAAAACTCCTGGGATGGGATTTTTATCCCCAAAAAAAGGAGAAAATTCCAGGATTTCGATCTTGGGATCAATCCCGGTGAGGATCCCATAAAAAACCGGTGGGAAAATTTTTGGGATGGGATTTTTTGCCAAAAAAAGGAGAAAATTCCAGGATTTTGAGCTCGGGATTATCCCAGTGAGGATCCCATAAAAAACTGGCGGGAAAACTTTTGGGATGGTATTTTTTCCCCCCAAAAAAAAGGAGAAAATTCCGGGATTTTGACTTTGGGATTATCCCAGTGAGGGCACAGGAAGGAGATTTAATGGAAAAAAAGCTGGGAAAACTCCTGGGATGGGATTTTTATCCCCAAAAAAAGGAGAAAATTCCAGGATTTCGATCTTGGGATCAATCCTGATGAATTTCCAGAGAATTCCATGGAAAAAAGAGCTGGAAAAAGTCATGGAATGGGATTTTATCCCAAAAAAAGGAGAAAATTCCAGGATTTTGAGCTTGGGATTATCCCAGTGAGGATCCCATGAAAAACTGGTGGGAAAATTTTTGGGATGGGATTTTATTCCCAAAAAAAGAGAAAATTCCAGGGTTTTGAGCTTGGGTTTATCCCAATGAGGAACAGGAATGAGATTCCATGGAAAAAGAGCTGGAAAAAGTCATGGAATGGGATTTTTTTCCCAAAAAAAGGAGAAAATTCTGGGATTCTGAGCCCAGGATCTTCCCAATGAGGATCCCATAAAAAACTGGCGGGAAAATTTTTGGGATGGGATTTTTTCCCCCCCAAAAAAAGTGGAATTCCAGGATTTTGAGCTCAGGATCAGCCCAGTGACAGCTCCAGGGAATTCCATGGAAAAAAGAGCTGGGAAAAGTCATGGAATGGGATTTTTTTTCCCAAAAAAAGGAGAAAATTCTGGGATTTTGAGTTTGGGATTGTCCCAGTGAGGATCCCATAAAAAAACCGGTGGGAAAATTTTTGGGATGGGATTTTATTCCCAAAAAATGAGAAAATTCTGGGATTTTGAGTTTGGGATCATCCCAATGAGGATCCCATAAAAAACTGGTGGGAAAATTTTTGGGATGGGATTTTTTCCCAAAAAAAGGAGAAAATTCCGGGATTTTGAGCTCGGGTTTATCTCAAGGAGGACACAGGAAGGAGATTCCATGGAAAAAGAGCTGGAAAATTTTTGGGATGGGATTTTTTTCCCAAAAAATAAAGTGGAATTCTGGGATTTTGAGCTCAGGATTATCCCAGTGAGGGCACAGGAAGGAGATTTAATGGAAAAAAAGCTGGGAAAACTCCTGGGATGGGATTTTTTCCCCCCCCAAAAAAGTGGAATTCCAGGATTTTGAGCTCAGGATCAGCCCAGTGACGGCACCAGGGAATTCCATGGAAAAAAGAGCTGGAAAAAGTCATGGAATGGGATTTTTTTCCCCAAAAAAGGAGAAAATTCCGGGATTTTGAGCTCGGGTTTATCCCAATGAGGAACAGGAATGAGATTCCATGGAAAAAAGAGCTGGAAAAAGTCATGGAATGGGATTTTTTCCCAAAAAAAAGGAGAAAATTCCAGGATTTTGAGCTCGGGTTTATCCCAATGAGGAACAGGAATGAGATTCCATGGAAAAAGAGCTGGGAAAAGTCACGGAATGGGATTTGATCCCCAAAAAAAGAACAGAATTCCGCGTGCCGACAACACCGCCAACAATCCCCCAATAAAAAAAAAAAACCCCAAAAAACCCCCAAAAATTCCCAATTTCCCTTCAGCACCAATTCCCAAAATTCCCAAAATTCCCAGGGAGGGTTTTGAGGGATGATTTTTTTTTTGGGAGGGGTGGAATAGATCCGGGATAATCCGGGAATTTCCCGTTCCCCTTTCGCAGCCCCCGCTGAACGCTCAGATGTTGGCGCAGCGTCAACGCGAGCTCTACAGCCAACAGCACCGGCAGCGGCAGCTGATGCAGCAACGCGCCCTCCTCATGCGCCAGCAGAATTTCGGGAATTCCGCCGCCGGAATTGCCATGGGAAACGCCAGGTTGGCTCAAGGCCCGCCCCAGCAGTTCCCGTATCCCCCCGGTTACGGTACGAGCGCCGGGAACGGCGGCGGATCCGGCTTTTGCGGAGAGGCGGCGGCGCTGGGGAATCGCGGATCGCTGGGGAGTCGCGGGATGATGGGAGCGCAGTTCGGAGCCGGAGCCGGGATGGGCCCGGCGGGGATCCAGCAGAGTTTGTTTCAATATTCGGGATCAGGTACGGGAATTTTGGGGGTTTTGGGAGGGTGGGAATGGGAAATGTGGGATTTGGGGAGGGATTTATGGGATGGGAGGGGTTTGGGGTGGAATTCCCGGTAAAATCCCTGGGAATATCCGAGGAAAAGCCGGAGCAGGCTGGGAATGGGATTGGAAATCCGTGGATCCCATCCCGAGGAATTCTGGGATTCTGGGATCCATCCCGAGGGATTTTTATGGAATTTGGGAATGGGAATCCAGGGATTTTCTGGGATGGGATGAGCCGGAACTCGGTGGGAACCCCTCGGAATCCCAAATTCCCGATCCAGGCTCCGTCCGTGACCTGAATCCCGGTTTTTTTTATGGGAAGAGCGATTTTCCTGCCCGGAATCCCGGCCCTGCTCCCGCTCCGGGATCCCTGGGGTGAATCCAGGCAAAAATCCAGGGAAAAGCCTTGCCCTGGGATGGGGAATTCGGGTTCCGGAGGGAGGAATTCCCTGGGAAAGCCGGGGATGGGGATTCCTGGGAATGTGGGGCAGCAAATCCCGGGATTTGGGGATTCCTCGGGGCTGGAATTCCCTGGAATTCCCAGAGAATCCCTGGGATTGTCCAAGGAAAAGCCGGATCGGGCTGGGAATGGGATGGGATTGGGAATTTGTGGATCCCATCCCAAGGAATTCCGGGATCCAGGAGGCTCAGGATCCATCCCAAGGGATTTTTATGGAATTCTGGGATAGGGAGACCCTTCCTGGAGTCCCCAATTCCCAGGGAATTCCCAAAATCCCTTCCTGGAGAAGAATCAGGATGAGAGAGCCGGGAATGGATGGAATTCCATGGGAAAAAGGGGAGAAATTTGGGATTTTGGAAGAATTCCCAGAATTCCTGGAGAATCCCTGAGATCACCCAAGGAAAAACCCGGAACACCCCAGAATCATCAGGACAGGGACAAAACTCCCTGAATCCCTTCCCAAAACTCCAAAAATCCTGAGAACGGAGAGGAGGGGAGGGGAAAAAAAAAAAAACGCCGGGAATTTTGCGGATCCGTCGGTAATTCCGTGCCGGAATTCCCAGGGATGGCGCAGCAGAGCGACGGCGCCTTCGCGCCCGCCCTGAGCCCCGGCAGCCCCCTGATGTCACCGCAGCTGCCGCCGGCGCCGCCCGCGCCCGGATACCAATCGCCGGAAGTGAAATCGTGGAATAACGGGTGAGGAACGGCGGGAAACGGAGACGGGGAGCGGCCGTGGGAAAGGGAATTTGGGATTGTCCGTGGGAAAGGGAATTTGGGATTGTCCGTGGGAAAGGGAATTTGGGATTATCCATTGGAATTATCCATTGGAATTATTCACTGGAATAACACCAGGGGATTATCCATGGGAGTCAGCCTTTGGGATTATCCATGGGATTATCTTTGGGAAAGGGAATTTGGGATTATCATGGGGTTATCCATTGGAATTGTCCATCGGGATTATCAGTGGGAAAGGGAATTTGGGATTATCCTTGGGAAAGGGAATTTGGGATTATCCGTTGGAATTATCCATTGGAATTATCCATTGGGATTATCTTTCGGAAAGGGAATTTGGGATTGTCCGTGGGAAAGGGAATTTGGGATTATCCATGGGATTATCTATGGGATTATCCATTGGGATTATCCGTTGGGATTATCAGTGGGAAAGGGAATTTGGGATTATCCATTGGGATTATCCATGGGATTATCCGTTGGAATTATTCACTGGAATAACGCCAGGGGATTATCCATGGGAGTCAGCCTTTGGGATTATCCATGGGATTATCCTTGGGAAAGGGAATTTGGGATTATCCATTGGAATTGTCCATGGGATTATCAGTGGGAAAGGGAATTTGGGGTTATCCATTGGAATAAAACCATGGGATTATCCGTGGGATGGTTCATTTGGGTTATCCCTTGGAATTATGCCTTGGAATTACCCATTGGAATTATTCATTGGGATTATCCCTTGGAATAACACCAGGGGATTATCCATGGGAGTCAGCCTTTGGGATTACACATGGGATTATCCTTGGGAAACAGCCTTTGGAATTATCCATTGGGATTATCCATTGGAATCAGCCTTTGGAATTATCTTTGGGATTATCCATTGGAATAACCCCATGGCATTATCCACGGGATTATCCATGGGAGTCAGCCTTTGGGATTATCCATTGGAATAACCCCATGGGATTATCCATGGGATTATCCACTGGAATAACCCCATGGGATCATCCATGGGATTATCCATGGGAGTCAGCCTTTGGGATTATCCATTGGGATTATCCATTGGGATTATCCATGGTAAATAGTTTTTGGGATTATCCATGGGATTATCCATTGGAATAACGCCATAGGATTATCCATTGGAATAACGCCATGGCATTATCCATGGGAGTTAGCCTTTGGGATTATCTGTGGGATTATCCATGGGATTATCCGTGGGAAAGGGAATTTGGGGTTTTCCATTGGAATAACACCATAGGATTATCCTTGGGAGTCAGCCTTTGGAATTATCCATTGGAATTATCCGTTGGGATTATTCATGGAAGTCAGCCTTTGGAATTATCCATGGGAATCAGTCTTTGGGATTATCTATGGAATTATCCATTGGAATAACGCCATGAAATTATCCATGGGATGGTTTGTTGGAATTATCCATTGGAATTATCCTTGGGAAACAGCCTTTGGAATTATCCATGGGATTATCCATTGGGATTATCCATGGGAAATAGTTTTTGGGATTATCCATTGGAATTATCCATGGGATTATCCATTGGAATGACCCCATGGGATTATTCACTATCAGCCATGGGAATGAGCCATTGGAATGAGGCATTGGGATTGTCCATTGGAATAATCCATGGGATTATCCTTGGGAATGAGTCTTTGGGATTACCCATTGGAATAATCCCTTGGGATTATCCATGGGATTATCCTTGGGAATGAGTCTTTGGAATTATCCATGGGAGTCAGCCTTTGGAATTACCAGTGGGATTATCCATGGGATTATCCTTGGGAATGAGGCTTTGGGATTATCCATTGGAATAACACCTTGGGATGGTTCATTGGGATTATCCCTTGGAATTGTCCATTGGGATTATCCCTTGGAATAACGCCAGGGGATTATCCATGGGAGTCAGCCTTTGGGATTACACATGGGATTATCCATGGGAAACAGCGTTTGGGATTGTCCATGGGATTATCCATTGGAATAACGCCATGGGATTATCCATGGGATTATCCATTGGAATAACGCTATGGGATTATCCATTGGAATAACGCCATGGCATTATCCATGGGAGTCAGCCTTTGGAATTAACTGTGGGATTATCCATGGGATTATCCATTGGAATCAGCCTTTGGAATGAGCCATTGGAATGAGCCATTGGGATTATCCATTGGAATAACCCATGGGATTATCCATGGGAATGAGACACTGGGAATATCCACTGGAATAATCCTCTGGGATTATCCATGGGAAATGGCCTTTGGGATTATCCATTGGAATAATCCTCTGGGATTATCCATGGGAAATGGCCTTTCGGGTTATCCTTTGGGATTATCCATTGGGATTAGCCATTGGAATCAGCCATTGGAATGAGGCGTTGGGATTATCCACTGGAATAACACCATGGGATTATCCATTGGAATAACACCATGGGATTATCCATGGGATTATCCACTGGAATAACACCATGGGATTATCCATTTGAATAACCCCATGGGATTATCCACTGGAATAACACCATGGGATTATCCATTGGAATAACCCCATGGGATTATCCATGGGAGTCAGCCTTTGGGATTATCCATTGGGATTATCCATTGGGATTATCCATGGTAAATAGTTTTTGGGATTATCCATGGGATTATCCATTGGAATAACGCCATAGGATTATCCATTGGAATAACGCCATGGCATTATCCATGGGAATCAACCTTTGGAATTACCCATGGGATTATCCATGGGAAACAGCGTTTGGGATTGTCCATTGGGATTATCCATTGGAATAACGCCATGGGATTATCCATGGGAGTCAGCTCTTGGGATTAACTGTGGGATTATCCATGGGATTATCCGTGGGAAAGGGAATTTGGGGTTTTCCATTGGAATAACACCATAGGATTATCCTTGGGAGTCAGTCTTTGGAATTATCCATTGGAATTATCCGTTGGGATTATTCATGGAAGTCAGCCTTTGGAATTATCCATGGGATTATCCATTGGGATTATCCATGGGAAATAGTTTTTGGGATTATCCATTCTAATTATCCATGGGATTATCCATTGGAATGACCCCATGGGATTATTCACTATCAGCCATTGGAATGAGCCATTGGAATGAGGCATTGGGATTGCCCACTGGAATAATCCATGGGATTATCCATGGGAGTCAGCCTTTGGGATTACCCATTGGAATAATCCCTTGGGATTATCCATGGGATTATCCTTGGGAATGAGGCTTTGGGATTATCCATGGGAGTCAGCCTTTGGAATTACCAGTGGGATTATCCATGGGATTATCCTTGGGAATGAGGCTTTGGGATTATCCATTGGAATAACACCTTGGGATGGTTCATTGGGATTATCCCTTGGAATTGTCCATTGGGATTATCCCTTGGAATAATACCAGGGGATTATCCATGGGAGTCAGCCTTTGGGATTACACATGGGATTATCCATGGGAAACAGCGTTTGGGATTGTCCATGGGATTATCCATTGGAATAACGCCATGGGATTATCCACTGGAATAACGCCATGGGATTATCCATTGGAATAACGCTATGGGATTATCCATGTAATTATCCATAGGAAACAGTCTTTGGGATTATCCAGTGGAATTATCCGTTGGAATTATTCACTGGAATAACACCAGGGGATTATCCATGGGAGTCAGCCTTTGGGATTATCCATGGGATTATCCTTGGGAAAGGGAATTTGGGATTGTCCGTGGGAAAGGGAATTTGGGATTATCCTTTGGGATTATCTATGGGAAAGGGAATTTGGGATTTTCTATTGGAATTATCCATGGGATTATCAGTGGGAAAGGGAATTTGGGATTATCCATTGGGATTATCCGTGGGATTATCAGTGGGAAAGGGAATTTGGGATTATCCATTGGAATTATCTGTTGGGATTATCCGTGGGAAAGGGAATTTGGGTTTATCCATTGGGATTATCAGTGGGAAACAGCGTTTGGGATTATCCATTGGAATAACCCCATGGGATTATCCATGGGAATGAGACTCTGGGAATATCCACTGGAATAATCCTCTGGGATTATCCATGGGAAATGGCCTTTGGGGTTATCCTTTGGGATTATCCATTGGAATGAGCCATTGGAATGAGCCATTGGGATTATCCATGGGAATGAGCCATTGGAATGAGCCATTGGCATTATCCATTGGAATAACGCCATGGGATTATCCATTGGGATTATCCATTGGAATAACGCCATAGGATTATCCATTGGGATTATCCATGGGAATGAGCCATTGGAGTGAGCCATTGGGATTATCCCTTGGAATAACCCCATGGGATTATCCATGGGAATGAGCCATTGGGATTATCCATTGGAATGAGCCATTGGAGTGAGCCATTGGGATTATCCATTGGAATAACCCCATGGGATTATCCATGGGAATGAGACACTGGGAATATCCACTGGAATAATCCTCTGGGATTATCCATGGGAAATGGCCTTTGGGGTTATCCTTTGGGATTATCCATTGGAATGAGCCATTGGAATCAGCCATTGGAATGAGCCATTGGGATTAGCCATTGGAATGAGCCATTGGAATGAGGCGTTGGGATTATCCACTGGAATAACACCATGGGATTATCCATGGGAATAACCCCATGGGATTATCCATGGGATTATCCACTGGAATAACACCATGGGATTATCCATTGGAATAACCCCATGGGATTATCCATGGGAGTCAGCCTTTGGGATTATCCATTGGGATTATCCTTGGGAAAGGGAATTTGGGATTGTCCGTGGGAAAGGGAATTTGGGATTATCCTTTGGGATTATCTATGGGAAAGGGAATTTGGGATTTTCTATTGGAATTATCCATGGGATTATCAGTGGGAAAGGGAATTTGGGATTATCCATTGGGATTATCCGTGGGATTATCAGTGGGAAAGGGAATTTGGGATTATCCATTGGAATTATCTGTTGGGATTATCCGTGGGAAAGGGAATTTGGGTTTATCCATTGGGATTATCAGTGGGAAACAGCGTTTGGGATTATCCATTGGAATAACCCCATGGGATTATCCATGGGAATGAGACTCTGGGAATATCCACTGGAATAATCCTCTGGGATTATCCATGGGAAATGGCCTTTGGGGTTATCCTTTGGGATTATCCATTGGAATGAGCCATTGGAATGAGCCATTGGGATTATCCATGGGAATGAGCCATTGGAATGAGCCATTGGCATTATCCATTGGAATAACGCCATGGGATTATCCATTGGGATTATCCATTGGAATAATGCCATAGGATTATCCATTGGGATTATCCATGGGAATGAGCCATTGGAGTGAGCCATTGGGATTATCCATTGGAATAACCCACAGGATTATCCATGGGAATGAGCCATTGGGATTATCCATTGGAATGAGCCATGGGAATGAGCCATTGGGAGTGAGCCATTGGGATTATCCATTGGAATAACCCACAGGATTATCCATGGGAATGAGCCATTGGGATTATCCATGGGAATGAGCCATTGGAGTGAGCCATTGGGATTATCCATTGGAATAACCCACAGGATTATCCATGGGAATGAGACACTGGGAATATCCACTGGAATAATCCTCTGGGATTATCCATGGGAAATGGCCTTTGGGGTTATCCTTTGGGATTCTCCATTGGAATAACGCCATGGGATTATCCATGGGATTATCCATTGGAATGAGCCATTGGAATGAGCCATTGGGATTATCCATGGGATGCTGGGTTGGGGCTATCCATTGGGATTATCCATTGGAATAACGCCATGGGATTATCCATGGGAGTCAGCCCTTGGAATTATCCATGGGATCATCCTTTGGAATTATCCATTGGAATGACCCCATGGCATTATCCATGGGATGGCTCATTTGGATTATCCTTTGGGATTTACCATGGGAATGAGCCATTGGGATTATCCGTGGGAGTCAGACGTTGGAATTATCCAGGGGATTATCCATGGGAGATGGATTTTGGGATGATCCATTGGAATGATCCATTGGAATGATCCATGGGAATGATCCATGGGAATGATCCATTGGAATGATCCATGGGAATTATCCATTGGAATGATCCATTGGAATGATCCATGGGAATGATCCATTGGAATTATCCATGGGAATGATCCATGGGAATGATCCATGGGAATGATCCATCGGAATCACCCTTTGGAATCAGCTCCTGCCCATGGGATGGGGCTGTGGATGCCTGGGAAGAGGGAATGGGATCAGGAATGGGATCGGGAATGGGATCGGGAGTGGGATCGGGAATGGGATCGGGAATGGGATCAGGAATGGGATCAGGAATGGGATCAGGAATGGGATCGGGAATGGGATCAGGAATGGGATCAGGAATGGGATCGGGAATGGGATCAGGAGTGGGCGGGTACAGGACAGGAGCAGCTCCAGGGAAACTTGGGGTGGGATTTCGGGAAGGAATTCCCGGCTGGGCTGGAATTCCCAGAGAATCCCTGGGAGCATCCAAGGAAAGGTCGGAGTGAGATGGGAACGGGTTGGGAATGGGATTGGGATCCCATCCCGAGGAATTCCGGGATTCTGGGATCCAGGAGGCTCAGGATCCATCCCGAGGGATTTTTATGGAATTCTGGGATAGGGAGACCCTTCCTGGAGTCCCCAATTCCCAGGGAATTCCCAAAACTCCTTCCCTTGGGATGGGGCTGGATCCAACCCCAGGCTGGGAATGGAGACAATTCCCTGTCAAAACAGGAAGAAATTTGGGAAGGAATTCCCAAAAAAACCCCCAAGACCAACAGAATTTCACCTCTCCAACCTCCACAGATCCAGAACCGCTGGGAATTCCGGGAATTCTGGGGTTGTTTTTTTTTCTCTGACTCTTTTCCCGTTTTTTTTCCCGGTTTTCCAGGGTGTTCGGGCAGGCTCCGGCGGCTCCGGCGGCTCCGGCGGGGATGTACAACAACATGAGCATCACCGTGTCCATGGGCGGCTCCGGCGGCTCCGGCGCCGTTCCCGGCATGGCAGCCATGGCCGGCGGAATTCCCATGAATTCCATGATTCCCGGGATGAATTCCATGTGCTCCGAGCAGGTGGGAGGGGATGGAGAGGGCGGAGATTTGGGAGGTGGGAATTGGGGAGGGGGATGGGAATGGGATGGGAATGGGATGGGAATGGGATGGGAATGGATTCAGGAATGGATTCAGGAATGGAATGGGAATGGGACTGGGAATAGAATCAGGAATGGGACCGGGAATGGGATCGGGAATAGAATCAGGAATGGGATCGGGAATGGGATGGGAATGGGATGGGAACGGGATTGGGAACGGGATGGAAATGGGATCAGGTATAGGATCAGGAATGGAATCTGGAACAGGATCGGGAATGGGATCAGGAATTCGGCCAGGAATGGGATCAGGAATGGGATCAGGAATGGGATTAAGAATAGGATCAGGAATGGGATAAAGAATAGGATCAGGAATGGGGTCAGGAATGGGATCGGGAATGGGATGGGGAATGGGATCAGGAACGAAATCCGGAATGGAATCTGGAATGGGATCAGGAATGGGATCAGGAATTGGGCCAGGAATGGGATTGGGAATGGGATTGGGAATAGGATCGGGAATGGGATCAGGAACAGGAATGGGAATGGGATTGGGAATGGGATCAGGAACAGGAATGGGAATGGGGAATGGGATCAGGAGTGGGATTGGGAATGGGATCAGGAACGAAACCCAGAATGGAATCGGGAATGGGATCAGGAATGGGGCCACGGATCACTGGGGAGATGGGAATGGGATCAGGAATGGGATCAGGAATGGGATCAGGAATTGGGCCAGGAATGGGATCGGGAATGGGATCAGGAATGGGATCAGGAATGGGATCAGGAATGGGATCGGGAATAGCAATGCGAATGGGATCGGGAATGGGATCGGGAATCGGATCAGGAGTGGGATCAGGAATGGGATTAGAAATGGGATCAGGAATAGGAATGGGAATGGGATCAGGAATGGGATCAGGAATGGGATCAGGAATTCGGCCAGGAACGGGATCAGGAATGGGATTGGGAATAGCAATGCGAATGGGATCGGGAATAGGAATGGGAATGGGATCAGGAATAGGATCAGGAATGGGATCAGGAATGGGATCAGGAATAGGAATGGGAATGGGATCAGGAATGGGATCAGGAGTAGGATCGGGAATGGGATCAGGAGTGGGATCAGGAATGGGATCAGGAATGAGATAGGTAATGGGGCCACGGATCACTGGGGAGATGGGAATGGGGAATGGGAGCAGGAATGGGACTGGGAATGGGATCAGGAATGAGACCAGGAATGGAATCAGGAATAAGATCAGGAGTGGGATTAGAAATGGGATCAGGAGTGGGATCAGGAACGGGATCCAGAATGGGATCAGGAATGGGGCCACGGATCACTGGGGAAATGGGAATGGGGAATGGGACCAGGAATGAGATCAAGAATGGGATCAGGAATGGGAGCGGGAATGGGACCAGGAATGAGATCAAGAATGGGATCAGGAATGGGAGCGGGAATGGGATTGAGAATGACAGAGAATGGGATCAGGAATAGGACCAGGAATGACCCAGGGAATGGGATCAGGAATGGGATTGGGAATGGGATTGGGAATGACACAGGGAATGAGAACAGGAATGGGATCGGGAATGGGATTGGGAATGACAGAGAATGGGATCAGGAATAGGACCGAGAATGGCACAGGGAATGGGATCAGGAATGGGATTGGGAACAGGATTGGGAATGACACAGGGAATGGGATTGGGAATGGGACCGGGAATGACCCAGGGAATGGGATGGGGAATGACCCAGGGAATGGGATCGGGAATGAGATTGGGAATGACCCAGGGAATGGGATCAGGAATGGGATTGGGAATGAGATTGGGAATGACCCAGGGAATGGGATCAGGAATGGGATTGGGAATGAGATTGGGAATGACCCAGGGAATGGGATCAGGAATGACCCAGGGAACAGGATTGGGAATGACCCAGGGAATGGGATCAGGAATGACCCAGGGAACAGGATCGGGAATGACCCAGGGAATGGGATCAGGGAATGGGATCGGGAACAGGATCGGGAATGACCCAGGGAATGGGATCAGGGAATGGGATTGGGAACAGGATCGGGAATGACCCAGGGAATGGGATCAGGGAATGGGATCGGGAACAGGATCGGGAATGACCCAGGGAATGGGATCAGGGAATG